TTTTGTTTTTTTTTTGAATTTAAGCAAAATGTGTAGAGGATTTTTCCCAATTCTATCCTTAAACACTGTGGGCTGGTAAGTCAGCTTTCAAAGCCTTTCGTAATAACTTAATATTAGCTAGTTTGACAATTAGTGAGACTAGGGGAATAGATCTTCTAAAGTTCTATCAGTCAGTATGTCTACTACTCATTTATTTGGAATAGGTACAGTTTCCTATTATTATTGTTAGGGAATGTGGCACTGCAACTGTCGGGTTATTGTGCCCTTCTGGGCTTAGAGTAGGTCAATAAAAAGTAGTATAGAACCTACTTTACAGAGTTTTATTGCCTATTTTGTAAGAATATACATTCCTAGGAGCCTATTTCGTATGTGCATTAGCGCAAGGCATTCTAACAGCACATGTGTGGCCGACTCCTCATTCTCTTCACAGAATCTACAGTTTGCATGGTGTTTTAGTCTACAGTGCCCTGTTAGGATTCCTGTGATGATTCTAAGTTTTTCTTTTGATAGGATCATACAATCCTAGTATCTCTTATTGTTATAGGTACCAACAAGTGATTTGGATTGTTTTAGTTCTGGTATATTATCCCAGTAATCTTTTTTATTCTGGTTCTCCTTTATTTTTATGAGAAAAAAGAGCTTACTATTTCCTAGTCCACAAAAAGATTTCGGCTCCATCATCGGTGTGACTGCTCCTTTCCTGGCTAGTTTGTCCACTTATTCGTTTCCATGTAAGCTATTATATCCCGGTACCGAAAGAATCGACACCTGATTTGTTTTGCCAAGCAAATTTAGCTTTCATACACTTTCCTACTACCTTAAAAGTATTAGATTGACTATATAAACAATTAATACCAACAAAAACTTTTATTCCGAAGTTAAAACAGTTAGCACCCCACTCTAGCACCCCCATATTGGGAATATGGTTTCGTATATAAAATTAGTTAAAGACATAGATGGTTTTTAAGATTTTAGCGTTGATTACCTATTCCTGTGTCCAGTGTATTTACTCGTATTATACTTTAAAGCTTACTCTCACTCAAATATGTCAATAATTAACATTATATCTTCTTAACCGATATTTAGTTTACGAGTTTCCTCGTTGGTTCTTATTTGATCATGTTTTTCTATGTTAATAATAATTTACAACTTTATATTGTCGAAGTTGTTTTTTTTTTATTTTATTTAAGAAAATATAAATTTTTTTTACATTTAAAACATTTATAGTATTTTATATGCGTACAATATTTTAAATGATTTTTCATGATTTCAACGCAAATTTTTCATATGCAATATGCGTTCTCAGCTGCAATTTCCTGCATCAACGGGCATAAAATTATGAAATTTTTCATTTAATTTTTTTTTTTATTTATTATGCGTTTTGTGAAATTTAGCAAAATTTCTTAATATTTTCGCTAAGCGTTTGCTAATTTTACCCATTTGCACACTTTAGAAAATAAAAATAAAATAAAATAATTTATTTAAATGCTAATAATAATATTCGCTAGTGAAGGACATATGGTTTTCGTTACCTTTTCGTTCATATTTTTCACAAATCAAACAAATTTAAAAATACACTGAAAAAAACATCTGTACTCTAGATTTAAGTACTTTTACATATTATATATTTATATTTTTATATATTTTTTTAAATATTTCAAAATATTTTTAATTTACAAAATACAAATGTTCTTGTTAAATGACTAATTTGTGTGTAATAAGTACAAATGCTGTATTAAAACCCCTGAGTGATAATGTGAACACTCATTTTTGCTTATCAACTTCACGTGAATTAGTCCAAATTACCAGTGGAGCTGAAAATGAGTTTCACTACGTGCGATAAGGTCACTTCAAGCGAAACTTGCAAACAAATTCCAACCATAATTCCATTTAAAACTTATTTAATTCTCTTTAAAATAATACTGAAAGTATATACATAATTTATTTAACACATTTTTTTAATGAAAGTTAACTTAATTTCTATATAAGGACACAGAGGCGAGTTACTTTTATGGCTGACAATGGCACAAGTCACTTTTGCACATACGTACGTACAAGTCCTTTTAGAGTAGTCACTCAGTTCGAAATTGTACATATCATAGAAGTTGAAATGAATCTGCTTTTAATTGCATTACACTAACAAGGCACCCTGTATACGTGTATACACTTGCAAAAAACAAACATGTTCATAAGCATAACTCAAAAGTTTATCAATTGAAAGAAAACAAAACAAAAAAAAAAAAACAAATTTGTTAATATTCAAAATTCTCTGCTATGCGAATCACATTTCTAAATATAAATTTATGACCATATTTAGTAAAGATTGTTAGATTGTTTGTGCGGTTTAGTTTTTCTGTATCTACTTTCGGCACCAATGCAATTCTGGTTACTCAGATACATTCTAACATCGAAAAGTGTCTGGCAGTTGCGCCTGTTGCTCATTATGGCAGCGCCAGAAAGTGTCACAAGACAAAAAATTTATTTTATAATTGTTTTCTTATATATTCAATATATATTTTTTATTTTATTTTTAACGAATTATTCTTAAAATAATTTAATAATATTTTTCAATAATTCATTTGCATAAAAAAATTTGATGTATAACTGAAATATTTTTTTTTTCACTTATAAAAACATTAATTCTTTTCGCAAACTGTGAGATATATACAAAACTAGATGTGTTTCACTTGAAAAAAATACAAAAAATCTGAATCTGAATCACAACTTTTTTTGTTTACTTTAACTATGCTTTAGTTTATTGAAACAAAATATTTTTTAAAATATTTAAAATACGACACACTATAAAGATTAATACTAATTATAAAACCTTAAAACGATTAATATTATTACGACTGAACTAAAAAAATCATCAAAAATCCAGACTAATGACTGATCTTGCATAGATATGTTTCTTGCTAATATCATGTGTTTCCACTACTTACTTAGAAGGTTAAGCGCGTATTACACATCAAAAAATTTTGTCAAAAATTTCTGTCGTCGCTTGCTGTTACACATCAGACCAGTCAACATTTTTCACACAACAGTATTATAATAAAGCAATCGCCGAAGTGACAACAGCAATTGCTATGCATGATTTTACAAGTAAAAATAATATTTTATATTCAATTTATAATTTTAATTCATATATTTATATTTATTTTTATATATTGTATTTTAATATTTTTAATATTTCAAATCTTCTTTATATGTTTTAGTAATTAAAAAATTTTCCGTAGGTAGACAATACAAATAATATTTAAAATAAAAGATATAATTCATTCATAGATAAATTTAAACGATGTTTACGCTTCTATTCGTTAAAATGAATGAAATGATTTCCATCAACATTTTTTGTCAAACTTCAAATGTTATTATTACACATCAAATTTGACACAAAGTTCCATTTTCACAAAAAAGTGTGGTAAAATTCTTGTATGTATATACGCGCTTAAAGGGATGGAAGTCAAAACATCGTTTAAATGCATTTCTGATTTTATTTTGAAGTATATTTGTAGTTTTTTTGCTCGGTCATGTTCAAAATAATGTCGACTGGTTTGATAGGTAATAGCAAGCGACGACAAAAATTTGTGTCAAAAATTGTTGTGTAATACGCGTCTTATGTGAGTAACTTTAAGATTTTGTCGTTTCCATTGACATAAGTTACTTATTGCATAGGAAAGACAAATATGTGTCAGAAAGCTTTACAAAACTTCTGTTTGTTTAGAAAAATTTTACTTAATAACACATCGCGTAAAAGATTAAATATATAATTGATATATCGAATCGTTTATATACATTTTATGTATATCAATTATATATTTAATTAATAAAAACAAAGATTTTATTAAATACTTAGCTCCTCAGTGCCTTTATTTACAGCTCAGCTGTAGTTTGTTTACATTATACATATAAAACATATGAGACATACATATATCAAATTTTGGTAATTTTCCTTGTGGAAAATTCCTACAGTTAACAGGAAAGTCTATATAGCCAAGAACCCATTTCAGGTTAATAAATTAATGCTTCTCATTTGAAAATATGCGATTTTTGAATAAAATTTAAGATGTCAACTATTCATTAATAAATATAAATATTCTGCCATATACTTCATTTCGAAGAAACCATCTAATAGCGGGGTGGATAATTGCAATTTTTCCCTGAATAATTCTACAATGGTATGCTAGTCGGACTGACTGATTAATTGAGCTTATATTCCTTAGAGATCGCAAACCCTCACTCCGTTACCGTTTATCTTGATTTGTTCAAAATTTTTGAGTGGTCTACGTAAGTCTAAAATCACAGACTTAGAGTCCCTTTGCTGCTAGCCTCATAGTAGCTATAAGGGACTTGGAACATCCCTTCCCTTGTACGGATGTGAATAGAGAAATTACGACCAAGTAGAGAAAGTATAACATAGTAATCGATTTCTGAGGTACGATCGGAACAATGTTCCGTATTTGAGATTATCCTATGACTTGCTGAAAGAATTACCAATGTTAAGAAACTTGTTTGTATCAGTTTCATTTATTTGTTATTTCATTAATTTAATTTAATAATAGGAAATTAAATCTTAAATTTACTGCACTTAAAATCTGAGACTTTATTTCATATCCCTTTTTCATTGCGAGCTTTTCTATTGTCTGCATTTGATTTAATACTGCATTTTATGTTACGACAAAGTACAACAAATTGTATTAGAAATTCTTTTTTTTAACTTAAAAGTCAAATTAATTTTTAATATCTTTTTTGTGAGAGTCTCGGTCCTAATATCTCTCCCCTAAGAGAGATGGAGAGAAAGTCCCCTAATATCTACCAAAAACATAAAGTGGATATTTATCTGATAGGTATGTTACAACCTATTCAGCATATCTAAAGTTGTAAAGATTGATTTCATTATATAACTACAGTATACAATAGGTAATTATAAAATTTTAAACATTGCATATAAATATTAAAAATGCAAATCCAATTTTTTAATGCTTAACTGTGTACAAATTATTAATAAAGTTACAGAGATATGCAATATAAATATGGGTTCAGAAAAATGTAGATATTTGGTAAATGAGTATATAGTTCATGATGCTGCAAATATATTAATTGTTATTGATGTTGTGAGTTTTAAAAGAAATTTTTGGAACCACATTTGGTACTTTTAATCATCACCTTCTTATGATTGAGAAAATTTTTCACGACTCTGTCATAAGCTTCTTCGCATTTAGACTTTTCCTGAAAAAAAAAACAGGAAACAATTTACTCAGTCTTGATTTCTCTTTAGTATATTGTCTAATTCCATATCAAACCACCAAATGTGAGAATTATTACTTTTGGAGTCATAAAATAATTAAAACGACTAGACGTTGTTCACAGAACATTCATTTAAAAAGAAATGGATGCTTTTCTACCCATTCAATAGTTTGATAAAGAAGTGAAAGTAAATTAGCAGATAACTTACATAGCTTGAAACTATATCCACTTTATTTTTTGGCCGGTTTACGAAAAGCTTATTGCACGGCAGAGGAATCCTAGTGCGCAACTTTTTGTAATCAGGTTTTTCACTGTCACCATCATTGCTTTCCAATTTAAACAAATTGTCAAAGCTAGGTTTAGCTACTCCACCTCCTGATGACTGTTTAGCATTATTAACAACAGCGACCTTAGGAACTGGTTTAGCATACGACAAATCCCTTGCCATGCGCTCTTCAGTCGATAAAGCCCTATAATCTATTTCAATGTTATACAACTGCCTTGCCCATTTGTCTAAAAGCTTCCTACACATCCTTTTGTTCTCCAAAGTTTCATCAGGATGCTTACTTAAGAAAGTAACTGCCTTGCCCACACACGAAGCTCTCAAGTCATCTTTATCAACTGATGGAATCTGAAATGTGTTCAAAAAGTATAGTCTAAATAAAATGATTTTATAAGCGAAGACCAACATGCCTTAAGTAGCGCGTTGAGCACAGTTTCCCGTATCGGGTAATAAGGTAAGTTATGTTCAGATATAGGAGTTATCCAAGCTGTGAGCGCACCCAAAATATTGTAGTCTAACATTATTTCTTGGAATGGGCGCGAGAAGATGGCATTAATTTCCTTGAGCATTGCAACTTTCTTAACAGCCGGTTGCTTGTTATTGTATAGATCCACATCTTCCTGAGCAGCGTCAAACATTCTACCGACTAAGTTGGCACATTGCTCATTTGTCAACTCAAAACTTTTTAACTTATTTTTCAAAGCAATACGATGTGCAGCCTTTCTTTGAAGCATTGCATCAAAATCATTTGTTCTGGTGCTATATTCGTTATGAGAGAAATTATGCACATATATATGGCTGGACTAATTTTAATATTAAAAATTTTGAAACTTACACGGTTAGCTTACGGATTACTTTCTCACCCACATTTTTTTTCGAATGTTTTTTTTTAACCTCAGGAACAACCTGCTTCGAAGTACTGGGTTGAGTTCCTTCTTCCGGCATGGGGTTTTCAGAATCCAAACATGCCGGTTCAAAACCATCATCACTTTCAAACTGGAATCCGAAAGTCTCATCAACTTCCAATCCATTGGAATTGTTTATGTATACTTCAGTATTTGTGTTAGATAGGTAAAGTATTAAGAAATAAAAATATACTCATATATATATACGAAAAATTTATGAGAATAGATGCGTGAGGCTTAGATGCGTGAGCGCATATAAAATATATACAATAACGCAAAGAAAGAAAACACCTTACCCTTTGGGGTTTCCATTTAGATTTTAAATTATGATTTTTCTATTTCAATTTGAGTATATCAATAAAATTTATAAAGAACAAAAATTTTCACCAGCTCTTCAAAGCAAGTTTATTAAATTGAAAAAAAATTGTGAACTTTGTTAAGTTAGTTACTGTCGGAAAGATGTATTATGAAAAACGGAACTGTCAGATTTTACTCACACACATTAACTCCAGGCATGCTTGATTAATTTATTACTTTTATTTACTTAATTTTTCATTTAATTTATATACTTTTTCTTTATGTGCTCAAAACTTCAGCTTTTGGAACTTTGTCACTGTCACGGCCTCATAACCATACATATAATATCATAATATTGTTTTTATTTAAGAAAAGGGTGAATTATGAAATCAACCGATAAATTTGTATTTCAGAACCTTAAAGACACATATTTTGTTTTCTTAGAAATATGTCATAAATACAATGTACCATTTACAAGGTACATAAAAGTCAACGTTAATCGTACAACCGATTTTTAACTCTGTTGATGAGAAAATTAAACATACTTACATATCTTTATATTTAGCTACTTCTTTTAATTAATTTAAGACTTCAACAAATCTTCAACAAACATTTATTACATATCTGAGTCCGAGAAAATATAACATCAATAATGTATTATTACTTTACTATTCTGTAACGGTAAGTTGGTAAGTTACAGATCTTAGACAATTATTTTAGTCTCTTAGGTTAGGTTAGTTTAGGTTAGATTAAGTAAGTTTAGGTTAGGTTAAATTAGGTTAAGTTAGTCTGACGTAGGTTAAGTTAAGTTAGGTTAGGTTATACCAGCAAGTCTAGGAATTCACTATAGATCAAGGATTAAAAAATCTTGCACCTTTGGCAAGGCTTAAGACGCTGTTTAGTGAAAGGTCCTGAAGTTGGCAAAGAACCTCAAAAAAGAAGCTGTTAGTGTATTCAATCGACGTAATGCATGCGCTACACAATAACAAAACAGACTTGAGGCATATTTATCGTCCTCTCCAAAACTGCGATAGGAATGATTTAATGTCTAGTCTGTTATATCATATTTATTTTAATCGAATTTACATGTAATGTAAATATAAATGAATATTTTAATATTAATATTTTCTTACAAATATTAATATTTTCTTACAAAAATTAATATTAAATCAATAAAACTTTTTATTTTAATATTCGAATTTATGTAAATATTGTAAACGTAATCATCTTGCCGTCTGATTTCTTTCTTATCTTGGATTAAAAATCATCTCCTAAATCCACACCATTTCCCATTGAGAATAAATCAATAAAAAGTATATTTTATTTATTTCTTTATCATCAACTAACAAATAAAAAATTTTAATCTAAAGTTAAAAATAAAAATATTATTAATCTGTTTCTCAAAATAGAACCAGAAAAAATTTTTAAATTTTGTACAAAATAACAATGAAACGAGTTTTTAAAGCCTACCTTTAAGCTTTAATGAACCGAATTAAAACTGTGCGCCAACAAAAAGCGTCCAAGAAATATTTACAAACAAAATATGTAATATCAAAAACTAAAACCAAAAACAACACTAACCGATCTAAACAAAAGAGTAAACAAAAACCAAAGGAAAAATCGCAAAAACTTATTCTCCAAAGATCCGACAAACGCGTCATAGTGGTGAAGAGAAATAAGCAAACGCCACGCAAAACAAAATAAACAAACCGCAAAAAGAGAAACATAACACAACTCTGCTCAAAATGTTTGGCGAACGCAATGTATTTGCTGCCGGCAGCAACAGTGGCGCCGCGAACAATAGCAACAAGCTACACTGTGGTGAACAGCGAAATGCCGGTGATGATGACAAAACAGCAATGGTAAGTAAATTTTTTTTTTAATAGGAAAATAACACTGCGTTAGCACTCTTTTGTAGAGTTTGATTTCAACTTGCTTCGTGCGCGGTTGTGTTAACGGAATTTTTTTCGTATAAATAATTGCCCGCAAATAAATTCATAAAGTGTGAATTAAAATATATTAATTAAAAAGAAGAACACAAATGACAAAATATAACATTTTTAGTTTCGTTTAACTAAATGATATAATATTTTAAATAAACATTTTTATAGAATTCTTTTGCTGGAAGGAATAAGAATTCAATTGACGGTGGACAGCAACAACAACAACAACAGCAACAACGTGAGCAAACCGATTTCAATTTATCACAGCAACAACAACAACTTCAGCAATTACAACAGTTACAATTAAACGCAAATACAAAACAAAACAAAAATATAAGTCCTGTCATTTCGCCAACTCCAACTCCAAATTCAAACCCAAATCCAACTCTCAAACAATTAAATCCAAATTATCAAAATCAACAACAAAACGGACAAACCTCAACTGCAACACTTTTTTTAAATACCACAAACGCAACTGCATACCAAAATCCCAATAATTTAAATAATTACAATAACACAAATTTTAATGAAAATTTAAGTAAACCATATTTACAAACAAATTATCCAGCACAACCAGTCTACAACAACAACAATAACAATCACAACAACAACAACAGCAACAAAGAATATTATCAACAGGTGTGTTAGCAATTTAAAGAAAAACAAAACTCAATTGGGGAAAAATCTTATACATATATATAATTGTTAAGTGAAAAATTCTTATAAACTGCACTGCCCCCACTCGCTTTTTTGATTTCTAATTCTTTTGTTTTATTTTTTTTTTTTTTTGTGAATTAATTTTACCTGTATTATTTGTGCTACTGCCTGCCTAATTTGTTTTAAATTAACATTTTGCAACTAATGAAAAATGTTAATGAACTTGGCACGACGTCGTTGATGGCCGCTTGTCAGACCAAAAAGAAACACTGCACAAAAAACAAAACGACAACAACAGCAACAACAACAAACACTAGTTAATAGTGCAAGCAAATTTTTAATTTTGTGTTATTGTGATTTTGTTCTACACAATGTAAATGCAAAATACTAAATTGAACAAGTTTTGTTGTTGCAATGTCATTGCTTTTTGTTTATTTGTTTCGTTTTTTTCTGTACTTTTTGGCTTGAGTGGGAAATAAAAGCCGAAAGAACAAGAGAACTAAACAAAAAATAAAGAAGATCAACGTCGTCATGCTTTCGTCGTCGCTGTGGCACGCAGCTTTAATATCGTCGTGTGGCAATCGCTTAAGAACAATTTTTTTCTTGGAGTGTCTGAGATTGTGTGCGTGTGTGTGTGTTGTTTTAACCGTTCGGAGCGTTGAATGCTTGCGTGAAAGGAATCCGGTGCATATACAAAAAAAAGAAGCTAAGCAAGCAGCAATTACTACTGCAAGCGCTTTGCAATTTAGTCGTCTATGTGCTGCGAGCTGCTGTCATAAATTTCTAAGCTTGTTTCGCTTTTCTATGCTGCTCGAAAGACTGCTCTCGAGACTGCTTTTGCAACAAATTCCCGCACTTAATACCGGTATACATAAACGTGTATTGTGTTGACTATCAATTTCCAAAAGTGCAGATTCTTCACTGCAGTGTAGAATAAACGCCAGAGGCGGCGGCGGCATCGGCATCGGCAATTTTGTGGTATTTAATACCCGTGAATGAGAACAAATCATATAACGAAATAAATCATAATGTGCAGTCGAATGGTTCAGTAACAGTTCATTTGTGTTAAATGCTCAATCAGGAATGATTAACCAGTAGTGCAACGGCAGATGCGAGCTTCTTTTGTATGATTCCCAAGTATACGGTTTTTAAACAGATTATCTGAGCTATAATATATATGTTAAATGCTAAAATTACACTTATTAAAGAATCGATTCTGATGAATGATTTATTTAGTATGAAATGTACAAAAGATAAGGTATTCCATTCACACTCTGTTATAAGCCACCTTGGAGTTTGCAATTGCAAGACAACTTTTTCCTTAAAATTTTAATAAAATTTTACTGTAATTAATTTGTATCTGATTTAAAAAAGAACTTCCTTATATCAGATGTTGAGATTGTATGATCTAGTGCTATCATTGAATTCAATATTTTATCCATGTCTAGAAATTTTACTTCGTGAGTTCATACCCCATTTATAACGGATTTACTCATTTTCTTTTTAATTTTCTTTAATTCATAAATAATATTATTTATTTTCTTATAATCATTAAACAATGATTATAAAATGTTCAAAATAGCATAAATAATAATGCCAAAAGTGGTCCAATAAGGAACTAGTACTTTAAATCATTATCTAAATTATCAAACTAGATTTAACTACTTAATTAAAGAGCCCCAAAGATCTACATTAATGTTCTATAAGAACGTTCTAAACATAAATGAACTAATGTATTACTTTAAATGAACTAGTTTGAATAAGTTAATTAATGATTTACATAAGCCCACTTGATAATGAATAAATAAAGAAATTAAAGAAATCACAGAAAATTTTATAAAACCTCCAATCACACAGAATTATCTTAATGAATTGATATACATTTATAAATGAACTATTTATTTGAAATTCGATTTATAAATAATTTAAAGTAATCAAGGAATATATTATCAAATCCATAATCGAAAAGATTAACGTAAATAAATTAATTTGTCACACTTCAATTAACTAATTAATAGAATTGAACTTTGTAAATGAACGATTAAGGCAAATCCATTTAATTACAATGAAATCCCAGTATTAAAGAAATCCAAAAAAATCACAATCATTAAGAAATAATGTGATGATCTATTGATCTACCATAAACTATTTCCTTAAAAATTTACATAAGACCATTTGAGTGTGAAGAAGTCCATCCTTGTGTTTCAGAAGTCATAGAAAATTTTATTAAACTCTTATTACAAATGTTATTCTGACCTTAGTAAAATCGATCCGAAACAAATTTTACTCTTAAACAATCTTGAGATTAAAGTTAGTATTTTTTGTGTTATTATCCTCAAGAAATTTATTTTTTTCTACACTAAATTAGATAAAGATCCTCACAGATTACTGTTGTGAAATATAGAATAACAATAATAGGAGCAATGACGACAAATATAAAAGAATGCCAGATTCAAAATAGCTGCCACGAAATTGCAGATAATGAAATAATGGTGCGACAGAAGTTCATATATTTTAACTTTCTTCTATTAAACTTGGTTGTGGTTACAATGTAAAATTTTTATATACCAAATTTCTGAGATTTCTTAAAAAATGGGGGAATTATGTAAAAAGAAATTAAAACATATGAACTTCTTTAACAGAAATTCCTTCTTTTTCTGCTACCTGAAGATATAATCATTTTAATTATGTTGAGGCTAGTTGAGTCAGTACACACTTGAGCACTTTTACTCTCTATTAACTGCGAGATTCCTTTATAAACCCTCACTACGTCTTAACTGGATTATTGTTTATATTTTCATCAGGCTATTTGATCTCAGATCTGCATATCTCTCCGAAGAGCTTGTAACCGTTCTGAGATTTGATAACGCGGTGTTGTCAGTTTTCGTAAATAATTCCATGGCTCTATTCTTTATATATATTTTGATAGGATCAATCTGGAGATGTATATTATATCTAATAGAAATATATATAAATATATATATATAAATATATATAAATATATATATATAAATATATATATAGATATATATATATAGATATATATATAAATATATATATAAATATATATATAAATATATATATAAATATATATATAAATATATATATAAATATATATTTTACAAATATATATACATAATGTATTTATAAATATATATATATATATCATAACGCATAAATTTTTTTTGTTCGTACAGTAAACATAAAAACAATATTTTGTTTTACAATACTAAGTATAAAATACTAAATTAAAATACTAAATATTACTAATTATTAAAAAGTCCTAATTATTCCCACTTTTAGATTTAATTTGAAGTTTTATCTCACCCAATTCAAATCTCTTACATCACTTACAAAAAACTATCCTTGTTGTTGTTGTTGTTTAACACGTCTTCAACATCCCTTGGTGTTCAGAAAATTTAATAAGTAAATAATACGAGTAAATAAAAAATAGAATACAACTATTCTATTCAAACACAAGTAATTGAAAATTTTGAAATTAAGATTACCATAATAATAATTCAGAATACTAAACAACTTAATAAAAAGTAGGGATGAAGTATAGTAATAGGAAAAGAAAAAAGGTACAAGAAAAAAAAGGGAAGCAAAAGTCATAGTACAGCAAGAAAATAAGTGGGAGAAATATAGAATATACAGATTGGTAATGTGAAAGGGATTTAGTGTAGTAAAGTTTAGAAATATATGTAGTTTACACAGCTCGAAGTACAAATTTATAGCAGTTATGCTCAGTAATATACATGATATAATGGAGTTATTTTCGATTCTAACATAAATTTATTTTAAAAAAAATGTTTCAAATAAACTGTCCCAAAGAGTCTAGAATTATGAGTCACTAATTAATTTGAAACCAACAACAGTTGCCAATTTTTCTGAATAGGCAACTTACAATCGATAACAGTATTTACTTCTTAGTTATGGCTATTAAAAATTTATTATTGTGTATTTTACGTCTCAGTTCCATTAAAAAAAAAGTTACATATATTTTAAATACATTTTTTTTAGTTTGAATACCAATAATTTCATGTACCATAAAATTCAAATAATAAAATGTCATAACATCTAACCCCCTTAAATATTATATGAGTTAAACCCTGTCTCTATTACTTTTTCCCATGAATTCGTGTGTATGTCTCTTCCGTGTGATTTTCTGTGAAGCTACATTTTATTTAATGTGTTGCTTAAACTGATTTACCATTGCATGTTAAAATTCATGATTTGTAAAAACTAAAGAAAAAAAATTTAGAAAGATAATTATTTATAATAAATATTTTATTAAATTTAATTAATATAGCCGAGTGATTACTATCAGCAACAAGAACCGTACGACGAAAACTTTGACGAAGACATGGAAGCAGAACGAGATCTTGCTGAAGATGCACAATGGAAAAAAATTCAACAAAATACTTTCACACGCTGGGCTAATGAACATCTAAAAACAATCGATCGTTCCATAAATAATTTGGAAACTGATCTTTCCGATGGTCTGCGCCTGATTGCGTTAATTGAAGTCTTATCGCAAAAACGTATGCCGAAGCATAATAAACGCCCATCATTCCGTAGTCAGAAATTAGAAAATGTATCTGTCGCACTTAAATTTCTAGAGGATGAGGCCATCAAAATAGTCAATATTGGTAAGTGAAGATATATATATTTATTATTCACCTTTTGTTCAAGAAAAATTCAAAATTTATGCCAAAGTTTATTTTTCTAGTTGCAGATGTTTCTTCTAATCCTATTTGGGATTATATACAGTGTTGTGCATAACAAAAGCAACCAAAATTTGCCCATCAAATAAATAAGTTTTTTGTCTACTTTTTACTTTTCATTCAAAAACTTAAATACACAGTTTTATTTGTTATTGTATTAGCTATTAAAAAAAAAAAACAAAATCTACAATTCTTCATAACGGGTTAAATAATTCACAAAAATAATGAAATATTGCGAAATGCGGCTGTGCAGAACAATAGCAACTTTATTTATTATATTAAATTTTTGTATTATTTTTCTAAATTTTGTATAAAGTCCTTTGCTTTTTATTACTTGGGCACTTCTACGGGTCAAAGGTGATATTAAATTGTTAATAAAACTATTTGGAATTTTACACCATTCATCTTTCATGACCTCAAACATTTGGAAACTTTTCGACCCCCAAAGCGACGTTTGAGAATACCAAAATGTTCTCAATTGAATTAAAATCAGGTGTTTGGGCTGGCTTATCTAAAATTGGAATTCCATTTTTCAAAATCCATTCTCTTATCAGCTTTATGGTGTGTTTTGGGTCGTTATCGTACTGATATACCCGTCGGAGTGACATTTCTCATCCGCCATGGGGTACCATATGGCTTTCTAAAATTTTTTTGTACACATGTTGGGCTATTATTTGATGAATTTCATGAAAAGATCTTAGTCTAAATCCTGAAAAGAACGCTCAAATTATTACTGACCCACGCCCATGCTTCACAGTCGCTTGGCAGTTACGCGAATACAAACGTTTTTCTTTTTCGCGACGTACTGTGCATATCCCATCAGAATTAAAGATGTTAAATTTTGATTTATTGCTGAAAAAAATTATTTTCCATTTAGTAAGAGTCTAATTTAAGTGATTCCACGCGAAATTTGATCTAAATGAAGTATATTAATATTAATTAAAAAGCAAAACAAAAATCTACCTCTTTTGCTAATGCTTTTTAGTCAACATTGGTTTTTTGACTGATCTGTAACTTTTGAAACCGGCTTCGAGAGTAAGCCTGCGTACAGTACTAGAGTCAACACCTTGTTTAAGCTCGGCTACGACCTTTTTCAACTACACGAATCATTGTTTTTTTGTAATTCTTATGATGTTTCGATCAATTCTACAAGTAATCTTAAGAGAGGCTTCACCCAAATAAACAGTTTTAACGGTTTTTTTCAAATTATATTTTTTTATAAGCTGCGAAACAATAAACTAATTAATTTTAAATATTTTGGCTATTTCATTTGAGCACTGCCATTTAAATATTTTTCAATTCTTGCTTCTTTAAACTTCAAAGTATCCTTGTCACGAGCCATAATAAAAACGTACTTTCATTACATGATTTAATATTGAACTATTCTGTGTTTATGTTCTAATTTGCTTAAAAATATAAATCACAGCATAAAAATGCAAAAAATTAAAAAAATATCTTGCTAGAATGCACTTTGGTCATAGATCTATCATTGATCTTGTCTCAGTTGCTATTGTTTTGCACAGCCGCATTTCGCAATATCTCATTATTTTTGTGAATTATTTAACCCGTTATGAAGAATTGTAGATTTTGTTGTTTTTTTATAATAGCTAATACAATAACAAATAAAACTGTGTATTTAAGTTTTTGAATGAAAAGTAAAAAGTAGACAAAAAACTTATTTATTTGATGGGCAAATTTTGGTTGCTTTTGTTATGCACAACACTGTATGTATATAAGTTTTGAAAAGTTCGAAACGAGCATTTTTTTAAATATTTAATAATATCAATTTATTAATTTATTTGATTTATTTAATTTAAATAAATTAATATAGACTAAATTCTAAAAATAAAAAAGCACTACATTTTTAAAGTCCCTTTTAATCAAAATCAAGATTTCAAGATTCCCGAACATTCCCAGGCGTATTAAAATGTTTTTTTTTAATTTTTGTTTTTGTTGTATTTTATTCTCTTTTGTTCGAATTCTTTTCCAATCTTATTATTACATAATAACCATAAAAAATTTATTTAATTCAGCACCCGCCTTTATCAAAAATTTTGTGGGGCTTCCAGTTGCTCAATGCTGCCAGCTTAAGGTCGGGCATTCTGCGTTATTGCGGCGATTTTGAGCTTGCGTCGGAGCGTTTTTTCTGGCTGCTGTGCTGCTACGAACGTTAAAAAACGTTATTTTAAAAAAGCGCAACAATAACAAATGATGTCATTTTTGGGTGCCAACTCAATTCGAACTTCGTTTTTAATTTTACTTTCGTTTGCTTTGAGTTTCTGTTTAATTTTATTAATTTTTAACTGGCGTTTCTGTCTTCAACTGCATATTTGTGTGGAATTCTCGAAAAATATTTCGAATGCATAAATTTTGTCTCGTAATTTTAAAATATAATTTCTTTGTCATTTGTCATTTTATATTTATATACGTGATTAAGTTTTTCATAACAATATTTTATATTCTATAAAAATATATTATAAAAATTGTATATTAGCTACTTAGAAATGCAGGTGGATTGTCAAATTAGTCATTCGATTGACAATACAATCAATATTTTATACATTTTTTATCTCCGTTTAAATTCACAATAAAAAGTTATGATGATTCAAGTACTTCCTCTTACTATGACTATTCAATAGTGACGTCATACCATGTCATAGACAACGAATTGATGTTAGAAAGCAATAAAATAATATTTAATAATCAATTCATGTAAGTTATAAAATAGCAATAAGTCAGTGGGGCGTACCTACTTTGAAGGTTATTTTTAACTTAAATTTATTAAAATTATTTTTTGGTCACAGATTTTTTTTCATACAATAAGAAATATTTTTATTTTAAATTTTTATATTTTTTGTCACTTTATTCCTATTTTAATATTGAAAATATTTTCACAAATTTTTTCTTATTCCTCAGTAATATGCAGTGCAGGCAATATTTTTTGTTTTTATTTTAATTGTCGGTGCTGTTAGCTGACACTTTGACTTTAGTTTCTACTGCTTTAATTGTTTATTCAAAAATTGAATGTTATACAATCATATAAATTACAATATGTTACAAAGTTTTTGAAGTTCTATCTGTCTCTAGCAGTATGTACCAAGTCTCCAATCATTCTTAATCCAGTCCAGTTTCGGATATTTCTCAACTACGACATTTATTTTCTTCCCATAACGCGTTTGCCTTCGATTCTGCCTTCCACAGTAAGTTACAGTAATACATATTTTGGACCTCGGATGATATGACCAAAATACTTTGGTTTACCTGAATGTTTATATATAGAGTGCTTTCGTAGAAATTTAATTATAGAATTATAGAAATTTAAAGCTAATCTTAATCTTATTTAATCGGGTGATTTGGCTTGTCCAAAAACTTTTTAAAATACCTATAATTTTTTGACGAATTTTTTAATGTGTCACTGTATTGTTGTGTTTAGAGGATATCTAAAGTATCGGTATATTTGTAAGGCGGTGAGGAAATCGGAGCCTAGATAAAGTATATGCAAATATTCTCGATCAGCACGACAAAAGAAATCAATTTTTCAATAACCGTGTGCATGTCAATCGTTTTGTATGGCAGTATGTATATCAATAATGAAATAACACTTCACATAATATATTTTTTTAAAAGCAAAAATATATAGTCGAAATATAAAATGTGTATATAAATGTCCAAAGTCATTATCTATACCAGTATTTCTTTGAGTGTAAAGAAAATTAGTTATCTATACTAGTGTTTCGTACTTTGGACTAGAAAAATCTCGATCTTTTATGCAGGGACTAGTATGTTATGTTCTTTAAAAAATAGTATTGTAAAAGACGAAAAAAAAATGTTTTACAGGTCTGTGGTGCTATGCCAAGTACTGACGGTATATCATATAGCACCCATTTTAAATAACAGCCGAAAATGCTTTATATTTGTGAATATAATTGCATTAGAATTGCCACAAATTGGCAGCACTCCAAGGACACGCATTCGAGAATCATTGGTCTATATTATATAGGACATATTCTACATAACAGCCGACAGTGAAACTATTATTTTTTCCAAATAAAATTATAAAAAATAATTTTTTTACTATAAAACTATAACCATAAAAAGTCTTAAAGCCTTAACATATAAACAACTTACATTTTTTCGAAAGTTTATTTTGATCAATTAAAAAGTAAAATTAAATAAATAAAATAGAAAAGTACATTGGAAAAATAGTATAAAAAGAATATATCAAAAAAGACTTACCGGATTATTAAAAAGCATGGGTTAATATTGTTAAGTCGATACAGGTTTCTCGTGATATATAACAATATATACATAATTTGTATGATGTGTATATGAATATATTTAAATACTGATTTCTTTATATATTATTTTTATTTATATACTCGTAATATTTGATATTTCTGAGCATGAAATTTAAAAGACACATATTTTAAGTTCATCATTAAAGAGAACTCAAAAGGAAACCGCACTATTAAATCGGCCAAATTTCGATACACATACATATAAATAAAAAATTTCTATAATAATTTGTGATTAATTTGATAACTTTTTATATTTAATGGATTATATTAATAATAAAACAAATTATAAATGCACAACCACTTCTAGACCCTTTAACCCGACGCATATAGTAAGAGTAACTCACGCATTTTCGCCGAAAAAACACTTTAACAAAAGACATGCAAATTATGACTAAGTTGTAAAATTTGTTATTAATTATCATTGAAACCGAAATATAATCAAAACAGTTGCCGCTATAACGGCTTTATGAGATAAATACTTTGTCAAAGCTTGTTTTGCATATGAACCAGGGCAGAGAACAAATTCAATTTTGTTGCAATGTCTCTATTATTTTAGGATCATGCTCAATGCATTAATGTCTCATTCAATACGGTTTTTTTGCACAACAATTATTTTAAATAATTTCT